TGAAGTTAAATCGGTGCTGCTTGTGTCATACGACACGTACAATGGTCTATATGAGTGATTGCGGTTTCAAACAGCCTCGTTGTTCAAGAATTGTAAACGTTTTAAAATTATGATACAACATGTAATTTAAACTTTACCAAATTCCAAATACATTATCAAGAGCTTACAAAAAAAAATTTAAACAACACTATTTAAAGTTGTATGCGTCCGAAACGCTTTTTTTTTTTTTTTTTTTTTTGGATTACCTTCATCAGGAACGCTCAAAGTCAAATATTTAAAAGCCAAGGATGTAAAAGAACCGAAACAGTTTAAGAGCTATATATGACCAAAAAGGATCCCGAAAAAATAGCCAAATCCATCTAAGGTAAATTTTGCCTGGGGTGTTGAAACCTTAGTGTCTTTATAATTTCAAAATTTACAAATTGAAATAAGTAATCACTTTTAATTTAACCCTTTTCGCTGAATTCTGGTAAAAAAATGCACTTAACATACGTAACGGTTGATGCACGACAATGTTATTAGGTAAACTTACAGCTGAATACTGTACTTCTACATGATTCAAATGTTTTGAATGTAATCATCCATTTTCTACGATTTTTCTTCTTTTATGATTTATTACCGAATCTCACCTTGTAAAAAAGTAAACTCGAAAACAACAACGGTTGTTAACTACATGTAAGAGACAAACACTTGGTTGTGTTCCTTATCAGATAAATTCATGCTCAATCTGTAATTGCGGCTCGTGTCGATACATTTGTTTAACCTGTGTTATTGTTCTCATTATTGTATCGGTGATTTTCTTGAACTAGTAGATATATAATACCACCCTTCAGTAGCTACGCTTGTGGTGTTCTAATATAGTTCTGTTGGTAGATACGTACTGTTGTAAGGTCCCTCGATACAAGCCCTGACTGGTACAATGGTAATTTTGCAGTTAAGATAATGTTGAATATCGTCATTATGATATAACTTGAGATTGGGGTATTGTAGCGGTGCTTCCACATACCCAGTAGATACCTTGCATATAACTGCCCAGCATTTTCTGTGCTAGTGTAGTTCTTATTAGGCTCAGTAGGAAGAGTTGCGGCTTACAATATAAAAATTAGAAGATGTGGTATGATTACCCATGAGACGACTATCCACCAGACGCCAAATGACATAGAAGTTAACAACTATACATCACCGTAATGTCTTCAACAATGAGTAAAACCCACATCGCACAGCAAGCTATAAAAGGCCCCGAAATGACAAATGTAAAACTATGCAAACTAGAGAACTAACGGCCTGATTTATGTATAAAACAAAAAACAAAAAACGAAAATACAAATATGATATACAGCAACAAACGACAACCACTGAATAACAGGTTCTTAACTTTGGACAGAAACGTACAGAATGTGACGGGGTTAAACCCTCCCCTAACCTGGGACAGTGGTACAACAGTATGACATAATAAAACAAACTATAAAAGTAAGTTGAAAAGGACTCAACCCTTATTAAAACGCAAAATACACAAAGTACAGATCTGAAAGTACTCTCAATTATTGAAAGCTAGTTCAAAGCCAATAACAACTAATAAAAATTCATGTGTCTAAGACTTAAATGTCTAGAATCCTGGGTTCGAAACCTGGCTGGTCGATTGATATTTAAGAAGGCAAATCACATATTTTTTGTTTTTTTTTAACTCTTTTTTTTTTTTTTTTTTTTTTTTTTTCGCTACTGTGAAAGATATAGCTAATACTAATTGAGAACAATGCACACGCTTAAAACAACCGTTGAATCTATAATACCGATAAACGTTTCATTTCCAAAATAGATATCATGCTAGTCGAAAAGAATGTTTACGTTGTTATCCGGAATTAATGAAGGAATTAACTCATTGGAATTTGCTAAAAGACTTTAAATTTATGAACAAATTCGTTATCACGTCTCACCTGCAATAGATAGCTTATCAAATCTTTATCTATCGAAATTAATGTCCTTTACATATAAATTGCACTTGATGTGCTTTAAATTTGCACTTAAAGTCCTTGCATTCTGACGAGTCGTTCAATTCAGGGATTACAAATCTTGTTTATTTCTATTTTCTCTATATGAAACAGTTATTGTGTATAATCGGGTTAAATGCAGTAAAAAATCTCCCACTGACTTCAATGCAAAGCAAAGAATAAAATTTATACCTGGTTTTCTCTTTTAAAATCGGGCGTTTCCATACATCATTCATTAAAGTACAAATGTATGCAAATGTATTGCAACAATCAAAACATAGGGCCATGCAGCATTGTTTGGGCATTCACATGGCCTTGTTGACAAAAAATGTAGATTCACACTTAATTCCAACACTGACCCCATTACCTTTCAATTCTGTAGTCACAAAATTAAGTGCATTCAGTGTTCATTTTTTAATATGTTTAATCCTAGTTTTTATCCATCTTACAATGTATCAACAAATAATAATTACAGTCATTATCTACCGATTAGTGGAGGACAGGACTTCAGTTTTACCTTAAAGCTTTGACGACGTGTATTTATTAACTGAAGTTACATGTAGTCCTATAATAATACAACGTCACCTTTCAGAATTTCAACAATTTTCTAACACTGACCAGAACCTCCACTTACAGTTTCCTGAAATACTTTCATTATTTTTTTTTTCAGAAGAAAAAAACATCTTTATAAACCTAAGACCACTAGTGCTCTGCGACCCCTTAACAGTCAGTGAATAAAACAAAAACAAAAATCTCAACAATCCAATTTCACCTGTAGGTAAAAAACACCTGATTCATCCATCAGTTTGGAATTTTTTTTTTCTTAGTAGGTGCTGTATTGTTTGTCCAATCACAGCTTTCAGAAATATTGATTTAAAAAAAAAGGGTACACTAAAGAGCAACCTAGTTCCCGGAAAGTAAATACTACAGTTCAATCTCAAAAATTATATACAGGTACGCTTTTTAATACATTATAGTGTTTGACTTACATAGCCTAAAGATTTTATCGAGTATTTGTTATCGTAGGGGCTAGTCCATCGTCGTCTAATTACTGTTTGCTAAGCTCTTAACGAAGCTACTGACTGAATCCTGATCAATATGACTGTATACGAAATAAAAATTGCACGAAAAAATAAGAAAAACACATCAAAGGACAGAAGCATTAAGCTGAAACTGAAGATGATGATCGATTGGTGTTTAGCGTCTAGTGGCAAATAGTACATGCAAATTCATGCTGTATGTGCTTGTCCCAGTGATTCAGTGGTTATCGTTTGCATTGTTGCTGTATGTCATATTTGTTTTTCGTTTATTGTTTTGTATATAAACCAGCCCGTGAATTTTTCGTATGAATTGTTTTACTTTGTAATTTCGGGGCCTTTAATATATTGGTATTGATTTTGCCAATTGTTGAAGACCTTACGGTGACCTATAGTTGCTGACTTCTATGCCATTTGATCTCATTTGGAGAGTTGTCTTATTACCAATTATACCACATCTTCTTATTTTTATATGTTTAAGGGATATGAACCATGCGATCATTTTTACTAAAATGACTCGCAATTTTCAAGTCTTTAGTTTTTCTACTGGCTGTATACCATTCTGGAACATGCAAATTATCCGCATATGAATGCAGAGAGATCAGAGAAGTTCAGGAAAAAAATCCAAAGGAATAGATAGATATGCAGCAAAGATTATCACTTTTGAAAGTTACTAGGCAAATTCAAACGGAGTTACATTCATTTGTATCCCGATGTAAATATTGAATATGAATAGATCGAGAAGACCACACATGCATTCATATATGTACAGACAACCTTTTCTAAAAATTGTATAAAAAAAATGTAAAAATCTTTTACAGGAAAACCTCATTTGTAAAACTATTTATCTCTAATTTTTGAATTTACACAGACATAACTTTCAAATTGTTATATCCACAAAAAGACAATACTTCTATATCACGTGACAAGATAAGACCGGTGTACTCGAAATCTTAGATGTAAAAAATAGGTATATTCTGGGAAATTGCAACATGCTCTGGACTATATGGAACACAAAGAAAATTAATGACATGAAAGATCTTTTGATTTTGCATGTACATGATTTTTTCCATTTTTTTTTTTTTTTTTTTTTTTTTATTTAACAATAAAAAAAAATAAACAGCAAAGATTTTTTTTTAATTTCAGTTTCACGAGCTTCTTATGTAATGTTTTCGATAAATAATAAACATAAAACATCGTGTTAATTAATGTACTAGCATTTCTAATGACACATTTAATAAATAATTTCTTTAAAATTTACGATTGTCGTTTAGAAATATTTTCATCAGTATCATCACTGGCATTGTTTTAAAAAATATTTTCTCGAATTTTTCATGAGAAGAGTGTCTTTTCTATTGTTCTTGTGTCATCGATTTTGCCACTGAATGTGTCTGTCTCGAGCAAGAAGCCTGTAATCCACGGGATATGCTGTCGTTATTTTGTGTCTACCATAATTGTTTATCGTTATTCGTAGTAATAGATAAGGCGGTTTGTTTCCTCTTTTAATTTGTTTCAAATTTTGAAAGTTTTCGATCTAAAACACTTAGCTTTTTGAAATGTAAGTTAGTATTCCAAATTTTAATATTTCAATATGTTGTACTGCAATAGTTTGTAACAAATTGCCAGAACGTCACAGAACTGTCATATATAATCATTGTTTATTTATTTTTTTTTATTTAAGTTGTGAAAGAAGATACTGAAATATCGTTTAAAATTTTTTGTTGTAATCACAATTATCTTATATAAAAAAAACTTTAAAGAGACACCCCGAAGATTAATTTGTAAACTTTGTTTTACAGCAACAGTTTCGCAGATTTTTAACATTATCTTTTGTTCAGCCCTAACAAAAGTCGTTTGTGTAACGTGTGTAATATCTGTGTTTGTCTTTGGCTTGAATGGATATTGTAAACTGCAAAACTTTCATCCTTTTAAAAAAATTAAAATATAAAGAAAAAAGACACAATTAATTGATTTATTTGTTTATTTAGATTTGAAAATATATGAATTTCATCGGGTTTTGTATCTGTCCTTGTGCGGAATCTGCAAAATAAAAAAAAAACATTTTGTTTAATCAGTTTTCGTTTTTGCACAACGAAGTAAACACAATATAACAACGAAATCTTAAATAGATATAGGAAGATGTGGTATGAGTGCCAATGAGACAACTCTCCATCCAACTAACAATTTATAAAAGTAAACCATTATAGGTCAAGGTACGGCCTTCAACACGGAGCATTGGCTCACATCGAAAGTTTGTTATTCCTTTTCTTTTTTTTTAAATTATATTAAGAATTAAAATATAATGGTCCTTAGCAGCACTTGATTAGTAAATGCCGTAGCCAAATGCATGCAAAACAGAAAGTATATTAGAGTTAAGGAAATAAGGGGGAGTTAAAGTCGAACAAAATACTTCAACACTTTTCTAAAGCGCACACAATAGTAGATTGTGTTGCCCATTGGTATTATATCTTTTATTTTGTGTCATTGTGATAGATTGCTGTCTAAGTGATGTATACACAGTATCCTTTGATAAATTCATTATATCACAGTACCGCAAGAGAAATTAAACAAACTGATATTGAATGATGCTGCACCACACAATATTGTTCATAAACGAATCTTAACAAAGCGGATTTCACTATTTCAACATGAACTACTAACTCGGAACACCTTGAATAAATACCTATTTTGACATCGTTGCTGTCGCTGAATCTGTGGTTTTCTTAGAAGTATGTTGTGAATTCATTTTCTTTTATATAAGTTGGTTCCTTAACTAAATATTTGAAAGTTTGAACAAATTTTGTTAACACTCTATATTAAACTTCCATTATGATAGAAATATTTGATTTGATACAACATGTATTGCTGTCTTTGTTACCTTATTTCCAACTTGTATTTGTACTTTCCGTGTCTTTGAGTTCAGTTCAATTTGACTACTCCCTCCCCCTTTTCGAAGAGCAATGCATTTTAGATAAACTGACAATCTGTTCAAGGATGATGCCACTAAATGACTAAATGAATTACTTTAAACTTGAAACAAAGCAATCATTGGACCAACATAGATAGTATATTTTAAAGAAAGTAGCTAATCAAATAACAGGAAAATTCTGGATATTTTCCATCTAGTACGCTTAATAAGTTTCCCGTGTACTTTCCCTTTTTTATACCTTGAAGTTCGGTATTTTTGTTATACTTTTGTATTATATTTTTTTGAGAATGGACAGAACATGCATTTGCACGTAGAGTAATTTAGCTTTTTTTTTCTCAAATCCTACTTGCGTTTACTTTCGATGTAGTTGTGTATATTGAGTGTTAATAATATGAAACAATAAGATGACAAAGTTATGAAACTAAGAATAATTTTTTATGTATTCTTCTCAAGTATAACGTTGTATAAAAAGCACGCTTCCTATATTAAACTCTTAGTTTTTGTCTAAACTTAAATGACTCATTGCCAGCAGGTTATTTCCAGGGCGTTTGATTGCATCTTAGTTAACGTGCCTGCGTAGTAGTTTTATGTATAAATTATTTTCTTTAAAAACACACCTTATTACACTTTTCTACAATTATTATCAAACTGGCAATAAACATTAACATATTCATGTATTTTATTTAAAGTTTTTTTTTATTTGATAGGTCACTGAAACCTCCATCCAATGCTAGGTACATGTAACATGGGTTGTTAAATGCTTTCATTCAAGCCTACTTATTTCAAGATCAAGACAGAAAACAGACTGATTGATTAGAATTATGTTTCTGAGTAGCTATAAGATAATATTGCTTCCAGACTGTGAACTAACACATACAAAGCTTGTTTTGTCTGTTGGTCTACTACCAAGCAGTGGGGAGTAGAGATTTAAATACAGTCGTGAATCCCACCACATTTGCATTTGCCGTCCCAAGTAAGTAACCATGTCATTGAAGAAAGCACATCCTCATTTTTACTGAGATGTTGTTTACCGAGCCCGATAATTTAGAAACGATCCCGGTAAACTTATCGATCCTTTATATAAACTTATTCTGAATGGTTACCAATTCAACACTGTAATTAGATCTTTGAATATTGTTTTTATTGGTATTAATATTGATTTTGTTATCAGTAAATTTAAATCAAACTAAATATTATTGTTATATACATATTCACATTCATGGCTCTACAATCTGTCGATACCTGTATCTTGGCATTGCACAAGGTCATGTTTTTCTCTGACTGTTTATGACGTCTTTACACTAAATCCATTGGATGTTGGATGTGTACTGATTGATAATTTAGTTTAGATGCATCATTTTTTGTATTAGTTGTTATTGGCTTTGAACTAGCTGTCAGTGACTGCGAGTACTCTTGGATCTGTATTTAGCGTCTTTTTGTTGTTTGGATGTACAAGTACACCGTCCACGTCCATTCTGTGTTTTTGTTTGATGTATTTCTATCTGTATCCATCTGATGAGTTAAGCCTTTTCAACTGATTTTTATAGTTTGTTCTTATGTTGTACTGTTACACCACTATCCCCATGTTAGGGGAGGTTTGGCGCCTTCAAATTAGTTTAACCCCGCCACATTCTGTATGTGCCTGTCCCAAGTCAGGAGCCTGTAATTCAGTGGTTGTCGTTTGTTGCTGTGTTACATATTTGTTTTTCGTTCATTATTTTGTACATAAATTAGGCCGATAGTTTTCTCGTTTGAATTGTTTTAAATTTGTCATTTCGGGGCCTTTTATAGCTGACTATATATATTCGGTATGGGCTTTGCTCATTGTTGAAGGCCGTACAGTGACCTGTATTTGTTAATTTCTGTGTCATTAGGTCTCTTGTGGAGAGTTGTCTCATTGGCAATCATACCACATCTTCTTTTTTTTTATATTAAATGACTCATTGCCATCACAGCAGGTTATTTTTTTTTCAGGGCGTTTGATTGCATCTAGCTTAATGTATAAATTATTTTCTTCAAAAAAAAACACCTTATTACACTTTTCTACAATTATTATCAAACTAGCAAAAAAACATTAACATATACATGTATGTTATTTAAAGTTTTTTTTTATTTGAGAGGTCATTGAAACCTCCATCCAATGCTAGGTACATGTAACATGGGTTGTTAAATGCTTTCATTCAAGCCTACTTATTTCAAGATCAAGGCAGAAAGCAGACTGGTTGAGTTAGAATTATGTTTCTGAGTAGCTATAAGGTAACATTGCTTCCAGACTGTGAACCAGCACATACAAAGCTGGCTTTGTCTGTTGGTATAGTACCAAGCAGTGGGAGGGTTGAGATTTAGATACAGTCGTGAATCCCGTCACATGTTCATTAGTCGTCCCAAGTTAGGAACCACGTCATTGAATATAGTTGTCCTATGTCATATCCGCATATTTTTCTTTATTTGAAAAACAAATGGATGTTAATGGCAGACCTTTGATATTTATTGTTATTGACAACTTTTATAGACTCGAAACGAATTAAAGCGTGACATATTGTAAAGACACGTGTATGTTGTTGAATAATCGTTTGGTTGCTGTCTTCTTGACGTAAACCCATCATTTTTGTGTTCAGGATATAATCATATCTTATAAGATATCGCCGGAAATATTCTGCAGAACGTAATGTTGCAACTATTAAATAAATACTGTAATTCATTAATGTAGCATTCAGTGTGAAAGACCCAGGGTTCAACAATCTAAAAAAATGAGACAACTATCCACCAGGGACCAAATGGCGTAGATGTTAGCGTAGATGTTAGCAACTGTAGTTTACTTAGTCGTGTCAAAGGGATTAAGTTAAAATTCAACTTTAGTACTCCTCTAAATATACAAAATTTGTCAAGTCCTTAAACAATCTATTGTGCTATTTACTTACCTTACAAGGTTCCCTGTAGTGGGCTTGCTTTAACGACAAAATCTGTCAGCTTCATCAGATCCATCAACGCATTCATCTATTCCGTTACAATAAATATTTCTTCTAGGGTAAATACACTGTAATCCGCTTGGACATTTGATATATGGCTGTTCACATTGGTAGTCTTAAATACAAAATCAATACAAGTTTAACCTTTCTGAAAAGGTATGGAGTGCTTTGCAGTACCATAAATTACGTCAACATGTAGCAACAACTGTTGATTGGGTCTAGAATAACCATACTGCAATTTTATTCTTTATCTACCGTATTTGATATTTCCCCTTGTCTGGTACATGTTCCCAATTCTATATCTCATTGTAGCCAATATAACCTTTCCCAAATCCAGATGCAGTCAATCAGAAACGATATTTTTAAGTAATAATTTCAAAACGGCGTGCATATCAAATAAAACAGTTAGCTTCACACAGTAGTGCGGAACATATACGAAGGTGAGCATTCATTTATCCATATCACTTCAACATTATCAACAAAGTTATTCATTAATCGGGTATCGGATCGGATGATGAGTACTCATAATGTAAATTTTCCGTATTTGATAGCTTCTCCTGTCCGGGAACATGTTCCCGATTCTATATCTCATTCTCAATAGAATCTTTCCAAAATCATAAGGCAACCAATGAGAACAGATGTTTGTTACGTAATAATTTCAAGATGGCGTGAATATCGTATGAACTAATAGCTTCGCACCGTGAGCGAAGCAATTACACATAAGGCGCAACCTCGTATCTGTAAACCGGTATATGATGTATATAAATGAATTCTTCAAATCAATCTGTAAAAATCACTAAAAGATTTTGAGCCTACTTTATTATACTTACAATAGGCAGCCAACCAGAGTTCTAGGGGGAATTATAATGATGTTTTCTTTTGACTTAATGTTACCGTCATATACACGTACACTCCGAATACCTTGTCATGAATATTCATGCAATAGTAACTGTTCAGTATAACTTTGATACTGTGATAGGTTTTTCAGTGCTATTTAATTACATGTGAGGATTGTATAAAAACCTACATGTACAAAAGTATTTGGATTCATCACTTCCATTGTCACAATCTTGTTTGCCATCACATAGCGTGTGTTGCTCATAAATACACTGTCCTCCGCTAGGACATTTGGTATAGAGATGTGGACACTGATAATCTGAAAACGTAGATATAAAATGGCATTTTTCTAGGTAATAATACCGACAAGCACACACACGTATTTGCAATTTTTTGTGTATTTGGTATGAATAAATATACATACATTTATATTTTGTCAGCCATTTTGTTTTGGTTGGTGTTGAAACTCTCATGCATTATAAAGTGACATTACCCCTATCAGTTTTATTTAAGAAATGCATATTATGCACAACAAAATTATAATAAATTGATTTTCATAGTTGTATCTCTGGAAATAACATAGAAACTCAAATATTTTGTTCATCTATCAAGTGAAGTAGAAAAAAGACCATATCACGACAAAATGAGAACATGCAAAAACAGCCTACCTTAAGAAATGATTCCCTTAATTTTAAAACATCCATTGGTTCAATAACAAATTCTTAATTTGGTTTTTTTTACATTTAATGGCAATGTAAATTTTTTTTTGTATTAAGGATGTACACCTCTGAGGAGCCAAAAATTTCTAGAATTAAACTTTTTTTCTTAACCTGATTTTTAGGTTTATAAGAGTGTAAAAAAATAATTGGTGAAGGAAAATCATATAGTGGTGCACTTCTTTTTTTGCTACGGCCCTTTAAAAGTACCCAATTTTGATGATTTTTCCATTTTTCATCAATTTTTACCCATTTTTAGGCTATTATCGTGAAAAAAATCACATTTCCACAATTAAACTTTTTTTCATACTTTTAATAAAGATGAAGTGGATCAATTTGAATGAATTTAATTAAAAAAAAACTATAGGTAGGTGTTAATATAAGAAAGTTTTATCATATTTTGATCCTTTTCCTGTCAAATTCACAATTCTGTTAATTTTGTAAATTTGTGATTTTTCTCTGTTTTAAGAACAAAATGCATATTATTTTAGCTTCTTTGTTATAAATGATTGAATAATACATATCTAAGAAATTTGATAAGAAAAAAGTGATATGGGATGTTCATGTGTCTGGTAAAATCATTTCTTGTGCCCCTTACCCATTTTCTCAAAATTTTGGCTAAAAAACTGACTTGATTGGTTATAAAATTTGAAAAATGTCCTACTCAAAAACTACTTATTGTAAATATACAATTTTTTCACAGAGTTAAGTTTGATTAGAAAATTTTTCCAATTCATTACTATTTTCCACTTGTATTACATGTTTTGGAAATAATTCCAGAACGAGATTTCAACGAGACTGAAACGTCAGAAGAATACATCCTTAAAGAAGTCTTTTGCGATTAACATAATTACTATGACGGTTTTCAAACCCTAAATGAAAAAGTAATATTCACTTGTCAGAATTGAATTAATAAAAACCTCACTCTTAAAAATCTGGAACAGATGGGTCGAAAAATGTAAATAAAATACACCATATGATTGTTATTTGACACTATATTTTTAGAAAAACGTTTCTATTTTTTAAGCTACGCATTTGCCTATGCATATCGTATCTACAACAAATGTTCAATATTTGAATGATTTAAACATTCCACTTACACCATTTCACCATATACCCTGCACCATTACATAAAACACCATACATATTATACCTTTACATGCTCCATTATAACCGTCAGTACCATCATTGCATTTTGCCTCACCATTGCAAAGGAACTCTAGTTTAATACATTGAAGTCCATCGGAACACTTCACCCAATCTCGAAAGCATCTGTACCCTAAATTATATCAAACGCTTTATTATACACAATAAAGTTAAACTAATATCTTACTTCAGACTATTCAATAATTTAAACTACTTGCATACGGCCCTCAAATGTTTATTGTGTAATGCATGAATTATAAAATAAATAAAAAATCTTTTCATATAATTGAAATGTTTAACTTCCTCCTAATCCATTCAAGTTTCTTATTTGGTCTACAGAAAAACCTCTCCCGGAGCACCTGTGATCATCCCCAGGTTTCTTTCAGGGTTCATTTTTTGCAGTCTTCAGTGTTCTAAGAAATGTTTTTGGACTTCTGTTAGACTGTATTGTCCAGTTTTCTTATGATTTGTAATTGATTCTTCCTTTAATTTGCCTGTTTTGTTTGTTTATTCACTTGAAACAAAAATATTGTGTCCGCATCGTATGTAAGATATAGTCGACTAAATACTTTGGTGGCCCTAGAGCATCCACAGAGACTCCTAAATCCTACAGTGCATCTAGTTTTACTCCGGTTCTTTAATGGGTTAATAGACACACTCTTTAAATTTTGTTCTTACATTTTCGTGAGTGTTGCTTATCTATTGTGTCGTATTTTTGAAAGTGGTGCGACAGGGTTCTAGTCTTCTGCTTTACACGTATCACCCGCCAGGCGAATCTAGATTCAGTCAACTATTGACTAACAACATATCTTTAAGTCGCCTTATATTAATCATATACATGTACCTATTTACTACTATATTATATTATCGTTGATGTATATCTATATCAAGCCCAGCAAATACACATCTGAAACCAGTCATTTTTTTTTCATTTGGCATACACAGTTTGTACCGGAACACATATCTGCGTTTTCATCAGATCCATCTCGACAGCTGACTGTACCGTCACATATTTTTTTCTCAGGAATACATTGCAATCCATCGTCACATTTAGTATAGCCCCAACTACATTTATGGCCTTTGAGAATACAAAAAGAAGAAAAAAAAATATAAGACGTATTAACAATTATACATTTCACGCAATGTTAAAGTATGAATCATTCATATATGAATTAATCAGTTTTTCAAAACTGTCTGCTGTACATTTGATGTGTTATATATATTATATATCTTTTGGATAGATTGTTTTTTGGTGTGTCGTAAATTATTATACCATAGTTTTTGTTGAAACCCTCACGAGACGAAGTAGAGCGAGGTTTCCGAGAGATTGCTTTCGCTGTTTAACATTTTATTGCGTAAACCCCTGAGGGTTTACGCAGTATATATTGGACGATGTCCGTAGTCTTTCGGAACACCGGATGTTATTCGGAATACATCTGTTTCTTTCTATGGCCACCTTTCATATACATGCGCAATAGCTTATTATTTGACCTGTTGAATCATTAGAATCTTAAAGTTGCTATAGAGATATGTTACATATGATGCGAAATTTATTATGACGCAAGCTACTTTAACAAGCACTTGAATACTTCCTTGCACGCAATTACAAGCTGCTAATATTTACCTTACATATACGTAACCCGAATGATTCAGTCGTTATATTCCGCTGATCTACGATTACTCGCAAGTAGGAGAGATCGATTACGGGGAGGGACTGAATTATTCGGGTTAACATATACGCGTAGTTATTCTAATTAGAGTCAAACGTTGAAACCAGCTGTGTTTACATGTAGATATGAGATAAGATTTCACGTAAACAATGCGATTTATATTCGAAACGAGATTTGTTTAAACTAAAATCTATAAAAGAAGTATTACTAGCATTTCACTTAAGATTCCGAGTCTAGGGAAATGTACATAATGTACGAAGCAGGCTATTTCATAAGTTTCATACCTCAACGTCCTTGTGGGACTTACTAAAGGACAATACTGAAATTAAAATGAAGTCTTTCTTGCACTTTATTGAAATTTTTCGTCTAGGATAGACCAAGGACGTATATAATCTAAATTGATATACGTCCTTGAATAGTTTTTATTTTCTTTAAAATTGCAATTTTCTCTGTTTAAATATTGCAACGTTATTTCCTTATCAAATGTCGATTAATTAATAGACACCGAGTGATGACAGATGCAGGCAGAGATAAGAAAAAATAATTTCTATTTATAGTTATCTTGGTCAGGGAACAGATTATCTAACTGTATGTTCGGCCTGTAGTAATTAATGCTCTTCAAAATGTTCGTCAAAATAAAAATAAATAATTATTATTTCTTAAAGACGATCAGATGATGAATTTTCGGTTTTACTATATTAAGTACGAAAATGTAAAATAGTATAAAAAGATTTTGAGCCATCTCACTGATCAGCAGGCTACACAGTGCCCCCAAATGACCAGTATAAAACTATCCAGCATGAGAGAAAAAGGATAGCCGGGTCAATGTAAGAAACCTACTAGGCAACTTCAGTTCAATTTCAATATCTCGATTATTCTAATGGATTTGTCAAATGTCAGGGAATATCTTTTTAAATGTGGTAGGAAGACAACTCTCCATCAAAACACAGTGTAGTCAAAATTAGCAATTATAGGTTATAATTCAGCTTTCAACACAAAAGCTTGGCTCACATTGGACAGCATCCTACCGAAGGCCCCAAAACACTGTTATAAAACAATTTAAACAGGAAAAAACAAACAGATCTAATTTAACTTCAAACCAGAAACAAAAAGCAAATATGAACTGCACCAAAAAAAGACAACCACTAAACAACATGCTTCGGACTTGGGACATGTGCTTATGAATACACCTGGTTTAAAAGAATTTACATACATACCATAAGACAGTAGTGTTATTTTACCATGTTAAAGACACCCTTTAATATTAAAAAAAAATTCGCAAGGGTTCCGCGGAACCCAGTGTCTCGCCTACTTTTGCTGTAAATCGCAGGCTCAACAAAAATGAGGAAAACATCAATAAAAATATTCCTCTCAATACTATTTTTTTTTATTTTAAGAAGCTTCTGTCCAAGTTTGGTAAAAATCCAGGATAGTTTATAAATCTAAAAAAAATAACTTCAGACTGTATGTAATGTTAACTGGAAGAAAAACTAAGTCCATTTATAAGTAAAATACAGATAAACAGGTACAAAATTTTAACAAAAAATTTCCTTCTAGATACTAGCTTTTAATCATAAACAAGCTTCTGTCCAAGTTTGGTACAAATCCAGGATAGTATAAGAAAGTTATTAAAATTTAAAAAAAAAATTAACCTCGGAGTGAATGTATTGTATCCCAGCAGAAAACTAAGTCCATTTATAAGTAAAATACGGAAAAAATGGAATTTCATTTTTACAAAAAAACTTCTGGATACTATCTTATGATCATAAACAAGCTTCTGTCCAAGTTTGGTACAAATATAGGATAGTTTAAGAAAGTTATTAGAATTTTAAAACTTTAACCACAGAGTGAATGTATTGTTTCCCAGCAGAAAAAACTAAGTCCATTTAGAAGTAAAATACGGAAAAATGGAATTTTATTCTTACAAAATTTACTTCTGGATACTATCTTATGATCATAAACAAGCTTCTGTCCAAGTTTGGTACAAATCCAGAATAGTTTAAGAAAGTTATTAAAATTTCAAAAACTTTAACCACAGAGTGAATATTTGTGGACGCCACCGCCGACGACACCGACGGAATGTAGAATCGCTTTGTCTCGTTTTTTCGACTAAAGTCGAAGGCTCGACAAAAAGGAACACCTAATAACAGTTCATAAATGTGACCTTTAAACAAACTCATATTTAAATGATGGGTATACTGATCAGTGGTAATTTCAGGTTTGCCCATGTTAGTTTTTTTGTTGTTTTCAATTTGTTTGTTTGTTTATAAGTACAAGGTGTAAGCTGTTTTGTCTAGGCTATAAATATCTTTTTTAATGAATTGGTTTCGGTCATCAAGGTGAAGAGGATACAGTGCGATTCAAATTGTATATATTTACAATTAAACTTGCAGGCTTTTTTTCATGACCCACAATTTAAAATATAAGAAAACATCAAAATAAAAAGGGACATCCGGAAAATATCTTCAAAGCGAGTTAAAGGTTTTAAAAGTGTTTGTTTTTAACAAAAGAGGTTTGTCATCTAAAACTTTTAAGAGCATACACAAAGCACATAACTTAAAATTGCCAATGCTTGCTACCCTAAGCATAAAAAACCTTGCAGAGCAGGTGTAAGGATCTTAATAATGATCAATATCAAGCCCATGAACATATCTCTAATTCCAATAAAAACGGCTATTTTACAGGTTCACGTATTGCATTTCTTAAACACATATAATCATTAATTGATTAAATTTCTTCACATTTGCATTTGAACTTTAGCCTAAAAACTAACTCTAATCTAAAAACAAAAACCAGCATCTTAGAATGGAACATCAAGTGGGTGACTTAACATGATGTCTTTTGGGAGAGAGGAGAGAAAAAAATATTCCTTTAACAAGAACATTTCACCCCACATTGAACAGTATTTACTTTAAGTAAACAGTCACTGTCAGTTTCTAATTCTTATATAACAAAAATGATATAAAACAATAAATCTTTTTTTTTAAACAATTATCTTATATCTAATGCCAAACAAGCATTTGGGTTTACGATTGCATTTCTTTTTTTAAAGAAAGCAACTTGTATTGTATATATTATTGTTTTTTACCATAGAAATAAATCAGATAAGAATCAATTAAAATTTACCCTTCTCGGGCCTTTCAACTAAAACCCCGCCTATTTTCTAAAAATGCACGAGACGTCTTGAACGGCGGGTATATCAGATAGACAAAATTCTTCGACAGTGATGGACGCGTTTATGATTACGTAGAATATCGTTGCAGACGAAAAAATATTAAAAGAATAAGATGTTCTGGATATGCTTTGCGGTGAATTGACCTTAGCCGAAATCACTTATCTCTTTATCTGTAGGACTATAACGCTGCGCTAGAGAATCATCAGTAAGCATGGATTTCATGGACGAAAGACGACATATTTCTGAGATTTTGAAGACTGTTGGATTCTGAGATTAATCGAAATTATGAACTTCAAATTGTTTTTATCTTTGAATAATATTATAATGATTTATGAGCATGAAGAAATTAATTTTCAAGGAATCATTAACACGTTTAAAACTGTATCAAAAGCCAAAACAGCAAATTTATTATAATATAATAATAGGGTTTCCAAAATGGTCACGATTGAGAAAACATGCTTTGCTTATAAATAGGCCTTAAAATTTATACTTCGTTTTGAGCGACCAGACCCTATCTAATTCTAATGGTCCAACATTATTATTATCACTTTCTTAAGCAATCTCGTTTAAGTCGAGATGTCAGCAATGTATTACAATTTGTTAACCTATTTTATAGCTATACAATCATGACCTGAGTCATTGGGAATGAAACCCGAGTATAAATATCAATTACCGAAAATTTAGGCTATCAACCTATCCTAACTTAACAAAAACTTCAAGACAGTTATAGTTCATTTGGCCTAATTATTTTTATTATTGTTTCCATTATATAAATACATCTTTTTATTTTCATTTTAGAATTGATTCGATTAGTTCTGGGAGCGGACTTTTGTTCGTTTTTATATATAGGACAATAGACTTGTCGTACGTGGGTTCGATTCCCACGCTAGGCATTCATTTATATCGGCTGATTCAAAGCGAGTAGATTGGCTTAGTGGCCCCACATCGACTCTGTTGTTCCTTTCTAAAAATTCAGTCGGCCGCTGTTAAGTACCATAGTTTTGCTATCTTCCTTCATTTTTCGTAGTTCAGATATTACAAAACTATAGTATAACGGAGACAATTTTCCAAGCATTGAGATTTATGCATTGGTTGCATTCCCCGAGGCTCCATTGTACAGCTACAGTTTAAGCATTTGTTATTGATGATGACATACTTTGACAGGTTGATGATCACGTCTTTTAATGGAAGACTTCAAAGTTAATATATAGTTCTTCTTTTTTTAACAAGTCAACCCTGCCTGCATTCTTTTCATTTGTAATTCATTAAATAGATAAATGTAAAATATATTTATTAATTATCTTATTCCAATGATAACTGTTTATAAATGTATTACCAATATACCCTTGGAATATCGTAGGGATAGAAATGATATGATACAAGTATATAAAGCGTTGCATGGTATAGATGATATAAACTGGATGAGCTTATTTACTTTAGCACCATCTAATAATACTAGAGGTCACTCATTAAAACTCTTTAAGAAAAAGTGTAAGACGACACATAGACTAAAGACTTTTTCAATTAGAGTAGTGGATCAGTGGAATAACCTGTCAGATTTAACAGTGACGGCAAAGACTTTGAATAAATTTAAGTCAGCGTTAAATGGCGAGAATTGAAACCCACATAAATTTATATGTTCATGTTAATTGTTAAGCTGCGCACACCTAAATAAGTTCTATTTTTATAAGTATAATATATATAAATATATTATTATGCGTTTATTATGAGAGGAGAAATTGCATTACGACAATCCAAGATGAGGGGTCAGTAGAAGCCTTTGGCTTATTTTAAGGACCCGAAGATAAAGGTATAAAGGTATAATATTTGTTCAAAATCTCTTGCTGATTCACCGTTTTTAAAACGAAAATTATATAATGTATGATAAATTTCTAACATGTAGTAATTTTTCGACATTGTAATGAATTTTGTCCTTTTGCAGATGTATATGATTTTCTGAAGTTAAGTTAGCTACCTCTACAAAAGTCTTTATATTCATCTGATGAATCAAGGCAAGAAGACTTGCCATCACATAGTTCCTCTTCGTGGATACATTTATTGCCGTCCAAGCATTTCACTTCGTATTCAGGGCATTTAAATGCTAAAATATCAATGTAACATATGTAAATATTACAGGCATTGAAAACACCAAAAAGAAACATACAAGAGATACAGAATGGTCCATAAAAATCCTAAGGCGAAGAAAAACAGAGACGCCAAGGTAAAAACAAACGATGAAAGGAAAAGCAATAGTCTACTAAACACTTCACACTAACCTTAAGACGTATATGTAACGATTAGAACTCTATTAAAACAAGAGCTGGACTCGCTTCTATATGGTAAGAAAATCATGTTCTTCTAGTGACACTCTTCATGTTGCTCATTGAAAGTGAAAATGCTGTGATAGATGTAAGTCGTATTCAGTGATGTCATGATGAAGGGAAAAAGGACGGGAATTACATCTTCGACACTTTCTGTGATTTCGAAAATAATAAAAACGGAAAAACGGTAAATCATTATGAACAGAATTCCGAGGAATTTTACTACCAAAAAGTAAACCTAAACATTGCATTCTGGTTTGCAACAAACATCGACATTATCAGTTTTACTGCGCAAATGCGGAAGTCATCTCTTAGTTTAAAAAACGTTAACATTATAGATAGAAACCAAGATATTAATGACAATCTTCATATCTATTTTTCATTGTCATACAGTTCCTTAAAAGCTTACTGCAAACCTTTTGTATGCGATATATTCCTATCGACATGATAATGAATTTACTTTTATCAATGTGCAGTTATTGCAGATTTTAACCTTTATGCTGCATTGACATGCAGCAATGAGGGGCGTAAAGGGGGGTATCTGCACGGGAGTACGCGAATTAAAATTGAGATTTCACGATGAACGAACAATTAAAAAATTCTTGCACGTTGATCTTTTTACCGATTTCACGAAACACGGTGAATAACGAACCTTTTTCACGGCTGCACGTGAAATAAAAATGGCAAAACACGTTGCACGAAAATAATCCTTTACCACCCTCAGCAATGAAAATAAGCAATCATCAAAATTAAAATAGAAATAAATTATATACGATCAGGAATTTAACTAACAACACTTTTTCAGGAGTTTGCAGTATTTGTTAAAGTTTTTAAATTGGTGAATCAAAAGCAGTGATGGTTGCATGCTGAAAAACATCGAGTCATAGTTATAAGGCGGCATGTACGTTATTAGGTCCAATCTAAAAGATAAAACATACATTGTACTAGATTGTCTAGATTATGAGTGTAGCATTTAATTCAGTAAACCTATATATTTCAAGACAGTTATTACAATAATACTACCTTTACAAGCTTTTGGAATACTTTTATCGATACAATGTTCCTTCAGGTGACATACGAGGTCAGCGTTTATACACTGTAGCTGGTCATTGCATTTTATAAACCCTTTTTGACACTCAATATCTACAAAATAGACAATAAAATACATCTTAAACACGCATACACACAACCAGTTTAAAACAATAACGAAGAACAGCAACAGCGTTTTGCAGAAGGCGGATGGATCAAAATGCATGTTAGAACCATTAATCAATAATTACAATTTAATTTCCTTTGTCCTTGTTTATGTATGCTTCACCGAATTTGACATATTACCTAATTGTGTCTTGCTACAAGTTAAACGACATGTGCGACTAATACGACGTCGACTGAATCTTCGCTCCATCCAGGAGCAATATTAAATTCCAATCCCGGTTTTGGTGGGTTCGTGTTGTTTAATAATATTTTTGGTAAAGAAGTTGTGACTGTTGTTTGGCTTTAATTCATTTGACTTTGATGTCGAGTGACTTTTGTTTTGCCTTTTTAGTATCTTCCACCATTTATATTGCTTTTACTGAGTGCATGAATTTCTCATTACGCTCTAATATGGGCACTGCATTTGCAATGATATATATCAAGAATCAATATGATGAACAGCGAAGAAAAATATGATTTTGCACAATAACCAACATGAAACTGGTAGACTAAATACGAAAACATGAAAACAGTAATCATGCTCTTAATTGTAAAAAAGCGAATCGATATCAGTCCCAAAACATAAGAATGTAAAGATATATGCTTATCTCTTAAATATAGTGTTTATAGTCAAATTAGTTCATATTGAATTTTATAGTGATCTTATTTCTTTTTTAGGTCGTTCGTTTTAACTATTTTGTTCTTAATACATGATTTTCTCCTCTCAAATAGTAAAATACCTCTGCAGGCCTCTGGGAATGTGTTATCAGGACATTTTTTCCATCCATAGCAAGCAAGATCAGCATATACACATTCATTACTGTAGTTACACTGTGTGTAGCCAGTCTTACATTTGCAATCTTAAAAGCAGAACGAACAATCGTGTAGTAATTTCTGGACGAATACAAATAATTTATCATTATTACAGGTGCACTTTAAAGGTATGCATATCTTCGTCATACATGTATTAGGTCTCTGTTACGAAAGGCTTTATAGTTCAACTCGGCATGTCAAATTATAGTATAATATAATCTTAATGGGACATTAGCTACGATTTAGACAAAAAAATACAATATGATTTTTTTTGTTTCGAACATTTCTAAAAGTGGAATTGTGAAATGATATTTTGCTACTAGCAGTCAGTTTGGTTCAGTTTTGTCAAAATGAGAAAAAAAAATATCGTTTATGTAATATATGCGTGCTAGTCAATAATTCAACTCATTTAAATACGAATTCATGTGACCTACTATCAACCCTTCACCGAAGAAGGATAACACATGTTCAGTTATCAAAAGAGAGAGAATGTTAACATTGGAAAGGGATACTAGGGAGCCATCAGACAGATCCATTTCGTTGAAGGATTTTGCACTCAAAATGTAATTCTTATACAAGTAAAACGATGATCTACATATTTTGAATCAATGACTCGAAATCAAACAGACATAGAACAATCGTAGTTTTACGATTGAACGTGCTTGTGGGTGTTTTCATATTTATATTTTTTTTTATATAAAGTCGTATGATAATCGGCAGTCTCTTGAGATCATTTCGATGTTTATTTAGATGGCGTCTAGTCTAAAATACACATGAAATGACGATCTAGCATTTCAAATTGTTTCTTTTGGACTTTTTGTAAATTTAATATGCGTTAAAGTATGTTATAAATCAAATATGAGAATTTAGATCATATTAGTGAAATGAATTTGACAGATAATGAATGCCCTTAAAATTAAAGCCATTATAAGATATCATCTGCACATATATCAGAATGCAAATTAAATTTATTTATATAAGTATTTCCACAGTGATTTATCTGAAAAAGAAGTTTAACGAAATCACAGTTATGTTTGTCATAAATCGGAATGGAAATACTATAATTTCCTTTTTTATTCTTTTCAATTACAATTATTCCTTTTGTGAATCAATGATCGTTAAGTGCTTGAGAGGCAACAGTTAGATTTATTTTGTCTTCTATTAACTTTGCGATTACCCAAACTTCTTTGCAATAACATATTAATGGTAACAATTTTTCTGCACTAGATGCGCATTTCGACAATCAATGTCTCTTCAGTGATACTCGAGGCTAAAATATTTGAAGATCCAAAGCTTATTAAAAAGATGAAGAGCTATGAATACGATCATGTGCCTGTGTTTAGACATTTCAATAAAAATATGCTCACCACATACAGTTAGGAGACAAATTACCACCAGTAACACATATATTATATTCATTTTTATATGCAATGAAAATGTGTGGTTTTTTTAATTGTTAAAGTAGACTGACCAGTGAAGAATGAACAAGATATAACTAAAAATATCTAGGATGAAATTTGAAAAAAATAGGCAGGACAGGAGTTTTGAGTAAAAAAAGGCAGGATGAGATTATTTGCCCCAAAAAAAGAGGCAGGATGAAAAAAATCAGGATAAACTAAAAAAAAAAAAGGCAGGACCGAATAGAGTGAAAAATAAAAAGGCAGGACCGAATAGAGTGATAAATAAATAGGCAGGACAAAATTTTTCATCCAAGCCCCCACCCCCTAAAAATAAAATGGTAGCTCCCTTATCTACATCATAACATGTTAAAGTTCCACAACAACATTTTCGGAGCAATATGAGTGACAAACAGAAAAATATATTTTTGTAAAGGTAATAAATGCCATCCTTATGGAGAATTCAAAGATTATCTTCTGGAGTAATGATATTTTGATGACTGTCGTTTGTCCTTTCCCCTTTTTGGCCTATCTTCTTTCTGTTTTCATGAAAATGATATGTTCCCGCCTTCTAATCAATGTCCGATGTGGTTTTCACCTACATGTCCATAAGTATTGTATAACCATACAATTTAAAAACAAAATCATTATACCGAATAAAAAAGAGGTTTTTTATATCATGATAACTATTCAAATAATGTGCTGCTTTGTGTTTAATTATTCAGGAAAAAATCCAAGAATTCAATAATCGCAGTACGTTAGCAATTGTTGAATGTGAATAAAAAGTGGAAGACTTGGATATCTTTTGTTTTACTTTTTTTTATTTCACAATATCGAGTTTATTCAAAAAGTAAACTTAAAATAGTAACGTCTACATGTCCTTCTTATAGCATATTGATGCTGGTGACAATATGAACACCGAAATCAATCATTTGAACTGGTTTGTTTTTGTTTTTGTTTTGTTTTTATTTTTTGTTTGAATCCTCTCTTTAAGTTTGGTCGCGTGTGTGTATTTTTATTATGCTATTAAAAGGGCATCAATATTATGTTAGATAATAATAGTAAGTATTTTCATGTTTTCCGAAATCAAAACGCGTTTGACAACAAACACAGATTCAGGCCATACGGTAGCAGCGGATCATAGACAGAAAATTGTCAAAATATACCATTAGCACCATAAGAGCTACTGTGTAGAAGCTAGCCATATGGAGGCTAAATCTCTTATTGAACACGGTTATAACCAAAGAACAAAAACCTTTAAAGCATATAAATCGAATAGGTATATTCTTCTTTGAAATTTCATTTTTCAATTTTTTTTTCATTTTTGAAAAAGAAATAGAATCTGCTAATGCATAAATTATGTCTTTGAAAACAAGGGTGCACACGCTGAAATGTCTCGCCTGCTTTACTGATCATTGATTTATGTTGATAGTCCTAAATATAAAGCTTTACTACAAGTATCACATAAACTTAACATGATCCAAGAAAATGAGGTCAAGGTCATATAAACCAAACCGGAAATACATGTACACCTTACAATCATTCCAGACACAAAATATATAGTTGACCTAATACTTGTAGTTTCTAAGAAACAAACTTAACCAAGAAAATTTAACATTGACCAATGAACCATGAAAATGATGTCAAGGCCAGATGAACCATGCCAGACAGACATGTACACCTTACAATCAATCTATGCATTAAATATAGTTGACATATTGCTTATAGTATCTAAGAACTAAGAAACAAACTAAACCATGAACATTTAACATTGACCAATGAACCATGAAAATGAGGTCAAGGTCAGATGATACCTGCCAGATAGACATATACACCTTACAATCATTCCATACACCACATATAGTTGAACTATTGCTTATAGACCAAAACACAAAACCTTCACACTGAGCAATGAACCGTGAAAATGAGATAAAGGTCAAATAAAACCTGCCAGACTGACATGTACATTATCAAATATTTCCATACACCAAATATAGTTTGCCTATTGCATATAGTATAAGAAAAAAAGACCACAACACAAAAACCTAATATCAACCACTGAACCATGAAAATAAGGTCAAGGTCATACAGATGACACCTGCCAGTTTGACATGTACACCTTACAATCATTTCATACACCAAATATAGAAGAACCTATTGCTTATAGTATCTGAAATATGGATTTGACCACAAAAATTGAACCTTGTTTACTGAGCCATGAAATAAGGTCGAGGTCAGATGAAAACTGTCTAACATGCATGAGGAACTTACAAGGAACGCACACACTAAATATAGTTATCCTATTACTCATAATAAGAGAGAAATTAACATTACAAAAAATCTTAACTTTTTTTCAAGTAGTCACTGAACCATGAAAATGAGGTCAAGGACCATAGATATATAATAGACGGAAACTTCATATCATAAGGCATCTATATACAAAGTATGAAGCATCCAGGTCTTCCACTTCTAAAATATAAAACTTTTATAGCTGACTATGCGGTATGGGTTTTACTCATTATTGAAGGCCGTAAGTGACCTATAGTTGTTAATTTCTGTGTCAATTGGTCTCTTGTAGAGAGTTGTCTCATTGGCAATCATACCACATCTTCTTATTTTTATATTCACTCATCAGATCGATACAAAGCAGAAATACAGCTAGTTCAAACATTTTCTTGTTAATTTTGTATCTTGAATAAAACTATATTATATGTATGAACATACCTTTAAAGAGTAAAATCAAAATCTACCACGTTGACTGCTCAGGCTATTGAATATTATAAATGCAATCATTATATTTATATTCTAATGTACGAGAGAAATTGACAAAAGTTTGAATCGGCCAATATCTTCTGTAATTATAACATTTTAAATAAATATGATAAACTTCCAATGTCATACTTTTCCCAAGGCAAATTACATTTTTTATCACAGTTTTGTCAAATGTTAACGGCTTGCTTCATGTCACTAATTTTCAGAAAATTGCTCGCATTTGAAATATCATTCAATAAAATATTTAAGTACATGTCCTTAAATCACAATTACCGGTAATGTTTGAATTATTGTCTAGAAAATTTTATTATCTGTGATCTTGGGATTCTAACATCCCTATTTTTTTGGAATTTTTTCCCTATAAACTGATATTGCATAATGAGCCTCCTCATGGGATTTTTGATTATGTCATTACTTGGTCGTTTTTATAGTGATTATCTGATTACCAGACCAAATATTTCATGGTCATTTGATTATTTGATAATCTAGGACTGTATTTTTGATTGTTTAATTATCTTGTTTAAAAAAATAATTAATGATTATGTGATTATATTGGCAAAAAAATTGTGATTATGTGAGTACTTAGACACCCCCATGAGGGGCCTCATAATGTGTTAAAATACTGAAAGGTTTTTAATATTGAATGACGATAAGACATGTATGGTTGATGACAATTTAAAGAACATTTTAGAAGACTAACATTCAGTTTGAATTGGAAGATAATTATAATTTGGTGTATATTTACAGCTGCTCTTATTAGGGTAAAATGTTAAAACGTAATTGATTTTACATTCCAAATGTTTTCGATTTAAGCGGCATTAATGAGTCTAATAGGATACCATATTAGCCTAGTAGATAATTTTGTGTATACCATTATTCTGGCTATTTACAAATATGTTATGCATATTGAAAACGATGAAATATTAAACATTTTACATAACTTTTACATGTTTTTGCAAAGTAAGATTTACGTTTTTGTCATCATTCCATAATGTGTACATATATTATAAACAAACTGATAGGAACATGCTTTATATAATCTTATAAAACTACATGAAAACATAAGGTAATTATATTTCGTCAGATGTTCAGTGTAATTATATTTCGTCAGATGTTCAGTGTAAGTTTAATTCAGGAATTAACATTGCCCTTCCATCATGATTCATTGTATGCTGTTATACACATTGTAAAACTAAACAACAGCATATCAATAAAGTACACTCATACTACTTTCAAATTATCTGCCTTTCAATATTCCCTGTAGAAACTTGCTCAGACGACACAATTCTTCGGATTCACCAGATTCCACTACAAAATCAGATCTACGATTACAACAAAGATATTTTATGTACACTTTAAACCGCTTGTACATTTGTTATATTGTTTACAATAAAAATCTGTGATATAGAGTAAGATTTATCGCAAATATACTTGTGTTCTTTTTACATTTTGAATAATGTTAATTATTTGTTAAATACATATTGTACATTATTGTGTTGATATAAAAATAAGAAGATGTGGTATGATTGCCAATGAAACAACTCTCCACAAGAGACACAGAAGTTAACAATTATAGGTCTCCGTACGGCCTTCAACATTTTTTAGGACCCATAAAGCAAATATCTGCAAGTTCGTTCATTGTATAAAGTAAAATAACAAAAATACCGAACTCCAACGAAATTTCAAAACGGAAAGTCCTTTATCAAATGCTCATACACACCAAACGAAAGGAAAACAATTGTCATATTCCTGACATGGGGCAGGCATTTGTTAATAAATGTACTACGGTTGAATCCGGTTCAAGATCGGGCTTTTTCAGATTATTAGGGTGTAAGGTCGGACCCGTATACTGTTTTTTGTTTTAGTTGTAATATGATGAGAGAATAAAGATGTAAAGTTGTAATAACTTTTCTTGTTAGTCCCCGTCCAAGTCAAGATCATATCATGGTGGAGGACTTCAAAGGTATAAAAGACATTTTATTTAGGAGCCGGTAATTATAATTTTGTAGTCGGCAGATTGATGTGCACAGTGTGACGTTGGGATTTTGCAGCTGAGGAGAAACACGTGGTCGTAAGAGGCAGACACTTTTATTGTTGAAAGTCAATTTTATTTCTGATGAGTCACGCAGATTGTAGTTCACATTTAAAATACTTGTTTGTCATGTTTGTTATTTCGGGAATTTAGTTTTGTTTGTAAGAATTTATCTCGCGGCAATGATCTCATAGTAAATGGGCTTGTGTATTTTTCAG